CTCAAACTCACAACAATCCTCCTGCCTCAGCCTCCCGAGTGCTGGGATTACAGGTGTGTGCCACCATGCCCAGATACTTATTAATTATATTAATTGCCTGAAAAAATTCACATAACTTAAAATGCTCCACAATGTGACTTGAGCATCCAGGGATGAGCCTGAAGTTAAGCATTTACTTTTCAGACACTGCTATCTGGGTCAGGAAGGGCAGAGGAGACAGAAGGCAGCAGGGACTGCTGGGACTAATCCAAGCTTCCCCTGCAGATCATTCTCCAGTAACTCCCAGCCAGCTGCCTGGGTTTTCAGGGGTAATGTGGAAAAGGCACCATCTTTCAGTACCCAGATCTGATACAATAAGTGCAAAAAGAACTTAGTAGACTTCTGAAATCGGTTGTAAGACAAAGGTGCCCAGATTTTTTTATTTCTTTTTTTTTTTGGTCTTTTTGAGACAGGGTCTCTCTATGCAGTTCAGGCTGGCCTTGAACTCACTTGATAGCCCAGGCTGGGCTTGGAAGCGATGATCCTCCTGCCTCAGCTTCCCAAGTGCTGAGATTACAGGCATGAGCCATCACACCTGGCCCAGACTTCTTTATTTCATACAGCCACATAATTATAAAATGCTGGGGGGGGGGGCAGAATTAATTTGTTGTTGTTGTTTTGAGGACCAATTTATCATTAGTAAATATTTAATTTACCAAGTAAGGACATTTAAAATATAACAGCAATAAAAACAAAACCTACTACGGAAAGCCAGAGCCAGACCAAATACCTTAGAAAATGCAACACACAGCAGAACGATACTGCTGGTTATGGAGAAAGGAGGAAATTATTCACTAAATTTCCTGAGCTAAGTGGTCATCCATGCCAAGTGAAAAAAATTAAAAAAAAGAAACAGGGCTAGCCGGGCATGGTGGCACACACCTGTAATCCCAGCACTTTGTGAGGCTGAGGCAGGAGGATCTTTGGGAGTTCGAGACCAGCCTGGGCTACAAAGTGAGTTCAAGACTAGCTTGAACTGCACAGTGAGACCCTGTCTCGGAAAGGCAAAAACAAACAAACAAACAAAACATAGGGACACAATAATCTTAATTTTAAAAACAAATAAGCCAGCCGTTGTAGTATAGACCTGTAACCTGTAAACCCAGCACTCTGGAGGCTGAGGCAGGAGGATCACTGCAAGTTTGAGGCCAGTCTAGGTTACAAAGTGAGCTCAAGGCCAGCCTGAACTACACAGAGAGACCGTTTCTCAAAAACACACACATACACATACACACAAAATCCCCAATATCAGAAAGATAGACATAGATTGACAGATAGAACGAACTTGGGGCAAAGGGTACAGCTCAGTGGTAGAGTGATTGTGCTATATGCACAAGGTACTGGGTTCAATCTCCAGCACCTCAAGAAAAAAAAGATTATACTTTGTAAGGTAACAAACAGAACCCATAAGCAGTCTTTCCTCCCCCGAGTGCACCAGTCTACCTGTGCACATCTGCAGGGCTTCCAGCTCATCCGCACTGAGATGCACATAAGAATGCAGGATGGTCCAATCCTGTCGGTGCCACACCAGGGCCGGCAGGGTCCTGGGGAACCAAGGCAAGAGTCAATCACATGGTCACTGGCCCACACCTTCGAGGCTGCTCCATCTCTTTCCAAGGAGGAAATGAGCAGGGTACAGTCCTACAGCTAGGCAGAGGCAGGGGTGGACCACACCGCAAACATGCTAACACCTCCGGGTTTCGTGTTAAAGCAATGCCAGGCTTTAACCTCTGCTTTTTGGGTCAGACTGGCTACAGAACACTTAAGGTGAAGTTTCCAAAGATCTCCATGGCGACAAAGAGAGATGTTAAAGTCTCCCTCTAAATATCATACTCTGCAGACTGCAAGAGAGAGGGAGCCTGAGGCTTAAATCCAAAGTGTCCCTTGTAAGCAAGAAATTTTGAGCCAGCTGTGGCATATGCCTACACTTCTACCACTCTGGGAGGGTGAGACAGTACAACTGCAAGTTTGAGTCTAGCCTGGGAATTTAGCGACTTAGTGTGACTCTGTCTCAAAATAAAACATAAAATATCAAAGGGCAGGGGAAGTAGCTCAATGCAAAGACCCTTGGTTCAATATCCAGTACTGGGAGACAGAAAAAGGTAAGAAAAAACTTGTAGCAAAACAAGTACTCCAGGAAGATGTGCTGAATTCACCTGTGGATTCAGGAATCGCCGGGTACCCTATGACATCACAAGCTATAGCTACCTCAGTTTAAGAAATATAAATATAAGGGAAAGGTAACGGTAGAAAAATACAGTTTGAAATGGAGGAGGGCAGGGTGAAAATTCTGGTGGTCTCACATAAGAAGAGGCCCTCATAGTCATAGTAATTATTTCTAAAGCCTTAAGGGCAAGACACATGCTAAGCATATTACATAAATTATTTCCAGTCCTAAAAACAGATTTATTGATGAAAATATTAGGATCCTCTTTTTTTTTTTTTTTTTTTTTTGGTTTTTCTCCGGTACCGGGAACCGAACTCACGACCTTGCACTTGCCAGGCAGGCGCTTTTGCCGCTGAGCTAAATCCCCAGCCCCCAGGATCCTCATTTTACAGACAAAGAAATTGAGGCTCAGAAACATTCAGTATCCTGTATGTCATAGAGCTAACAAATCACCTTTCTAGGACTTTTTTTCTTTTTCCAGTACTGGGTATTGAAACCCAGGGCCTTTGCAATGAGCAATCTCTCCAGTTCTCTTTAATTTCTGAGACAGGGTATTCTTAAGTTGCTAAACTGTCCAGGCTGGGCTCCAACTCATGATCCTCCTGCCTTAGCCCCCAGAATGACTGGATTACAAGTGGGCACCACCACACCTGGCTCCCTTCCAGGACTTTAACCCAGGTCTCTCTAAAGTCTTTCTCCTTTTCATTATCTTATTACTTAGCCTCTGCAAACCTCAATTTTCTCATTCATATAACAGGGTAATAATGCTTTCTTACCAAGTTCTTAGCATGAGTAAGTTTAATAACTGAAGGTACCTTACACAACGCCTGGCATGCAGTAAACCTGCACAAATGCTAACTCCTCTTGTTTTTAAAAAGGATCTATGAGGGGCTGGGGATTTAGCTCAGTGGCATAACACCTGCCTGGCAAGCGTGAGGTTGTGAGTTTGATTCCCGATATCAGAAAAAAACAAAACGAAAATAAATAAATAAATAAATAAAAAGGATCTATGAATCCACCAGGCCTGCTGGTGCACGCCTGTAATCCCAGCACTCAGGAGGCTGAGACAGGAGGATCGTTGCAAGTTCGAGGCCAGCCTGGGCTACAAAGTGAACTCAAGGCCACCCTAAACTGCATAGCAAGACCTTGTCTCAAAAAGACAAGAAAAAAAAAGTATCTATGAACAAGTTAGACTTAATAAACAAACAAACAGCCCACTTTATTTTTCTTATAACAGAGTATGGTAAAACTGAAGGGAAGGAGCAACTTAGTTAAATTAGGACAGCAAACTATGGCCTATGGGCCAGCTTCCTGTCTTTGTAAATAAAGGTTTATTGACACAGTCAACTCATTCACTTACACACATCTATGGTTGCTTTTTGTGCCCTCCAGGCAGATGAGTAGCTGGGATGGAGGCTGGGTGGCTCACAAGCCTAAAATACTTTCTCTCTGGCAAAAAAATGTTCGCTAACACCACGCTCCAGAATAGTCCTATTTCTAAAGTGAAAGAACAATCTGTCCCAATTCAGTGACCTTGAGCCACTAGATCTAAACTGAAGCATTAGATAAAAATGGTATTTTATTGTCAGACTAATGCACGATGCTATTTATAGCAAATGTGCAACGGCAGAGAGCACATGAGAACAGCTAGCATTCCAAACTGCCTGCCAAGAAATTCTACACTTTTCAATAATTAGTGACAATACCTGGTAAACTCCTGGACAGCTTCTATTTTGGGGTGATAGACAACAACTCGTTTTTTTAGCATCAGTGCCATGTGTAATATAACAGTTTCCATTCCAAACTGAGATACAATGTCTTAAAGAAAGAACACAATGATATTGCATTAAATATTATACAACATGAAGTTTTATCAAAACAAATTCTTGTCACAGGAATACAAAATTACTTTTAATAGAGAGTATGTTTAGGCAAATATAAGCAGTACAGAAGCACCTCATTTGGTGGACGGGCATATTTATCCAAATGCTGGACGCACAGAGGAAGTGGAATAAATGATATGGAGAAGCCATGTCTTTTAGTGTCATGCAAAAGTCCTAATTAAAAAAATGTTCCACACCTGTAATCCCAGCACTCGGGAGGCTGAGGCAGGAGAATCGCTGTGAGTTCAAGGCCAGCCTGCCTGGGCTACAAAGTGAGTTCAAGGCCAGCCTGAACTGCATAGCGAGACCCTGTCTCAAAAAGAAAAAAGAAAAAAAAAGAAATGGTCACTAACCCCCTGCGCACTGGACATTACTTCGGTCCTTGGCAGCTAGCTTGAACACTGAATACTCAATAGGATGCTGAGGGTGGAAAGGACAGCAGATCCAGAGCGGAGGGGCAGGCACTGCGGGAGGCGGGAGGCGGGAGGAGGCCTCGCTTCCAGAGTTCCTCCCTCCTCACGCTCTCAAGGACCCTGAAGGCCCCCGGCTGCCTCTGCTGTTCTGCATTTCCCAACGGGGAGCTGGATTGGGGCTCTAGGCCAGAGGCTTGAGCGCTTCAGATAGAAGAGATAACTGCTAAGATCTAAAGAAAGAACAACTGTGGAGGTCTGTAGAGACCCACACCATGACATGCAGCATTCTGGTGAAGAAACATTTCCATAACAACACAGCAATATACAGCGACCCCCCAAATGTCTTCCTTTGACAGAATTCTAACTCAAGAAGGGAATATGGGAGTTGGATACCCTCCTGTACAGGAAACACAAGTACAGGCGAAAATAATGCATGGAACGAGGACACTAGGCCAGTGAGAGGTTGTCCTCGGCTCAGCATTTTGCTGTTGGCCTCACTTTTTTCTTTTTTTACCTTTGATGGAGCCTGCAAGGTATGCCTTCCGAGCATCAAAGTCCTTGCTAAGGAAAGAGCCATTTTCTTCGCTCTGACATATCCCCTTTGTGAGAACTGCAATGTAACTCTCCATCATTTTAACTGGGCTCCCATGCTTCAAGTACATTCTGTAAGAAAGGACAAAAACAGACTGTGCTTTTACGTGGCATGAGTGACACGGGGAGATGCAACAAGGCTAGGCAAGGGTCCTTTCTTAAAACCCTCGGCCAACTTGTTAACATACTTCTGAATGAGTCTCTTCACGGCATATATCACATCTCTAATTTAGTTAGGAACTCTATTTAATAAAACAACGTGACAGATCTTCAACAGTTCTTTGAAGGTAGTCCTGTCCTTATATCTGGAGAAAAGTGTTGTAGTCTCTTACAGCAGGATTAACTATGGACTTTGGTTTCGCAGTGCTGGGGGTTGAATCCGGGGCCCTGGGCACGCCAGACGAGTGGTCCATGACCTACAACCCGAGCCCAACTGTGGTCTTCCTGTGGCCCCATTATTCTCAAGAACATTACATTCTTATCTCTTTTATGTCTCATGTTCACAACCTGGTGTTCTTAGTCATACAACTCTGTTTTATTGCTGCAATTTCCTTTGACAAGAAGGGAGTTTTACACATTGTTCACAGAGAAAGCAGTAATTAGATGAAGAACCCATACTTATTATCAGAGCTCCCAGAGGTAGCTATATTTAGATAATTAAGAAATCCAAGCTCTTTAAGTTTCCAGTGATAAATGCACATTAGAGACATTCATCATCAATTTAAGGCTTCCAGAAAATGCTGACAGGAAACCGGCTACATTTATAGCCCACATGTGGAGTCAGTTGTTTTCCCCTTGCAATCTCTTCCTGTGAACAACTACAACTAAATTTTGCTTGAAAAATACGACTGGGGGCTGGGAGTGCCGCCCCATGGCAGAGTGTATGCTCATCATGCAGGTGGCCCTGGGTTCAACCCTCAGCAGCCGCTCCCCGCACAAAGAACTACACATGACGGGGTCCACTTGGGCCCTTCAAGTAATGTGACAAAGAATCAGAAAGAAAACAAAACTGATGCTACGACAGACAACTTGAGAATTATATTTACTGCAGACTGATGAAAGAAGGAAAAATCTGGTGTTTTAACAGATTACCATATTTTGTCAATCGTTAGTTTTTTTAGTCTTTAAAAATTATTTCAATTGACAAATTGAGGAAAAAGAGGTGAAGAACAATGAATAGTAGGCTTTCATATATGAAAAGCCATGAACTAAAATATAAGCCTATACAGGGAGCAAACCTCTCTGCTAGGCTATAAAAGAAATTACAGGGGTTGTGTGAGGAGGGGTAGGGAGAAAAACTTCTATATTATTGGTATTTTTAATTATATGCACTATTACTAATATCAAAAATATTGCCATTAATATTACAAAATTAAAAAAAAAAAAAAAAAAAAAAACTAGAAACCAACACAGGAATGGACAGGACAAACATAAGAAAGCTGGCAGGATAAGATAACTTCCTATAACCCTGGACCATGAGCGACGAACGGAGAGAATTCCCCAAAATTACTCTACAGAAGAACCACATAGGGCAACTCAGAGGACCTCGTTCAGATAGACAACCACAAGCTGCCACACTTGAGCTGCACAGCTGATTCCAAGTGGGCATAAAACCCTAGTTCTCCCCAAAAGGTATATAACTATTATGAGTTGAAAACATAACACACTCATTGGAAAAAAAAAAAAAAAACACAAAATCACACACAGCTGGGTGCGGTGATGCTCACCTGTAATCCCAGCACTCTAGGAGGCTGAGGCAGGAGGACTGCAAGTTTGAGCCCAGCCTGGGCAGCTTCATGACTTAGTGAGACCCTATCTTAAAATTTAAAAAAAGAGCTGGGGATATCTGACCTCTTCCTTTGCCCTAGGATGGCAGAGGAGAGGCCAAAATGTTGCAGCACCTGCTCCAGGCTTCCTTGTGGGGTCTAAAACAACCTTGCCTTCTAGACTCCAGAATATTTAGCCAAGTAACCTAACCTGATTCGATCAAATGAAATAGGAGACCACTGTTTGTACAAAAATACCTCTCTGGTATTTTTAGTTTATTGTTTCTGAATAGCAATAATAGCCTCCCTTTGTGTCTGTGCCATTGAAAGACAGTTGTTTATATTCTACAGTGAGCCATATACAGTACCTGGAATTTATCTTACAACAGCAAGCAGTCTTTCTTATTGTAGCTAGCTGCATGAACAGTCAAACCTTATTTAGTCAAAATACAATCTAACTAGAAATTCTTAGGTAATGAGATTTTGTGGGTTTTTTTGTTTTGTTTTGTTTTGTTTTCTAGGGTGTCTGTGTGTGTGTTTCAGCAGGACATACAAGTATGAAAAAGGCAAAAAGGTAATCATTTACTGGGCTTTTGTTTTTTGCAGTACCAGGGATTGAACCCAGGGCCTTTAATATTAAGCACAATATTAAGCACACTACCACTGAGCCATGGAATATCCCCAGCCAATTTATTGGACTTACAGTGGTGAGAAACATAAACAATTCTCTTCATCTCCCCACAAAATTACTGGGTGACAGCCTAAGGGCTAGAGATTAAAACATACGATCTCGGCCAGGGATATAGCTCTGGCACAAGTGCCTGTCTAGTAAGCACAAGGTCCTGAGTTCAATTCCCCATACAAAACATAAATAAATAAAACACACTATCTAGACTTATAATTCTACCTAGTGATAATGTTAAATAACAATAACACTAAAACTAAGGCCCTGTTAAAGCCTTTATCATTAAAGAAAAAGCCAATTCTCTAATATGTAAGAAAGATTTCATTAAGTACACTACATGTCCTAAAAAATACAAGAGGTGGACTGCTATATTTTAATTTTTATTTTTTGTCTTTTTGAGACAGGGTCTCGCTATGCAGTTCAGGCTGGCCTTGAGCTCACTTTGTAGCCCAGGCTAGCCTCGAACTTGCAACAATCCTCCTGCCTCAGCCTCCTGAGTGCTGGGATTACAGGCATGTGCCCCCACGCCCAGTGGACTGGTATATTTCAGATATTTTCAACATCTAGGGTGAAACTAAAGGAGTCTACTTGAATCATGCCTAACCATTCAGAATTTCCCAGCGCCTCAGCATTCTAGCTGTGAAATATTTTCCTATGCTTTAACATAATTCAAAATATCCGTTAACTTTCCTCAAAATAACTGTCCCACACAAACCTAGACATATGAGCCAACTTACCACTTCATAAAGCACTTAACTCATTCACCCTGCTCAGGAAACTCCAAGACTGCAAGTGGGTAGAAGTAACAGATGCAAAGTGCCAAGTGACCCAACACATCCGGAAACTGTGGCAGTTGTGCAAACTGCTTTTTCTCTCCCCAAGCCCGCTTTCCCAAATCATAGGAGAAATCCACAAAGCAGAAGAGAAAGCCCTCTACAAAACAGCCTCTGCAGGGCTATTCCAGATTAAATTGGGGAACAGAGGGCTGATATCTGCTTCCTCCGTGCAGAAATCTGCTGTGTAACTACCGAAGGAGATCTCCATTTTGGTAAATTAGCATTTAACACAGTTTTCATACAGACCTACACAATATCCTAGTGAAGGCGGCATATTTCTCTGGGTTAAAATCTTTGGCGGTCAGAACAATAGAAAAATGAGTCACCTGTCCAGAGAAACAAAAGAAGTACACTTTAAAAAAGATACTTTCATAGAAGTCAATATATACTTTAATGAAATAATAATTTTATTTCTCTATTCTACCAAACCTCTAGCACAAGGCATACCAGCATTAAAAAGATCAAAATTTAAAAGTCCTCACCTGCTCTCCATAATTTTATGTGTACATGTGTGTATATATATATTATACATATATTTATTTTCCAAATAAGAGTATATAGTTTTAGAAAAATTTTTTTAAAAATATTTCATTAAAATATCAAAAATAAGCCGGGCATGGTGGTGCACACCGGTAATCCCAGTACTTGGGAGCCTGAGGCAGGAGGATCACTGCGTGTTTGAGGCCAGCCTAGGCTACAAAGTGAGCTTAAGGCCAGCATGCACTGCATAGCGAGACCCTGTCTCAAAAAGACAATCAATCAATCAATCAATCAATCAAATATCAAAAATAACTCAGGAGGCTGAGCAGGAGGACTGCTGAGAGTTCCATGCTAGCCTGGGCTACATAGTGAGGTCAAGCCCGGCCTGAACTACACAGTAAGAGCCTGTCTCAAAAAACCAAAAAAAAGGTTCCTATTTCCTATTTAATATCCCCTAATCTAATCAAAACAGAAGTAGGATGCTAAACCAGACCTATCAATTAGCAACTCTTTTTCATTAATGAGATAAAAGGATGGAAAACAAAATGCATCTCAGTAACAATCAAATAGTTGCTGAAATAACTCTCCAAAGAGTGCTCCAATCTATTTATTTATTTTTGTGTTTTTGAGACAGGGTGTCACTATGCAGTTCAGGCTGGCCTTTAACTCACTTTGTAGCCCAGGCTGGTCTCCAACTCGCAAAGATTCTCCTGCCTCAGCCTTCCGAGTACTGGGATTACAGGCATGCGCCACCATGCCCGGAGTGAAGAAAAACATTTTTAAAAAATTGTATTTTGCCTGGGGATTTAGCTCAGCAAAACGGCGCTTGCCTGGCAAGCATGAGGTCATGAGTTCGATTCATGGTACCGGTACCGGAAAAAAACCAAAAAAAAAAAATCGTATTTTGAAGCATAGAACTAACTTTGCTGTTTTTCAAATCTGAAAACCAGGTGTGATATCGAAGGTGCTGTAATGTGGCAGTCTGGGATGAAAAAGTCACAATAAATTCACTTGCAGTTGCACCAAGACTTTTCAGTGTCAAGTGTGGGTGCACCCACCTGTAATCCAGCATTCTGGGAAGCTGAGGCAGAAAGATCTCAACTTTGGGCCTGGCCCAAGCAACTTAGTGAGTTAGCAAGACCTTGGCTCAAAATAAAAAATGAACAGGTCCTAGATTCAATCTCCTAGAAAGGGGAAAAAAAACCTAAAACTTGAAGTGTTCAATTGGTATCCGGGACATGCTGTATACAGTATCATTATGACCAAAAATTTTACCCTGAAAAAGGAAAAGAGGTCCCCTACACATATGCAAGAGGCTCAGGCACTTGGTTGCAATATTCTTTTCTTTGGAAAAATCTGCCTGCTTGGGGTTAAGAAACTGCATGACGGCTACACAGTGAATTTTCTCGCACTGATACTGTTCACAGCAATAAAACACTATTAAAACCTACTTCATTCATAAATTTCCTCAATTATACCTCTAAATTTTTAATATATCTTTATCATCCACAAGCAGTTGAAAAAAAATTCTTACGTCTGCCAAGATTATATCCTCTAAAATAGTTTTTAATGGTGGAAAAGTGCTTCTATCTTTTTTTTTTTTTTTTTTTTGTCTTTTTTGAGACAGGGTTTCACTGTGTAGTTCAGGCTGGCCTCGAACTTGCAGCAATCCTCCTGCCTCAGCCAGGGATATAGCTCAGCAGTACAAGCGCCTGCCTGGCAAGCGAAAGGTCCTGAGTTCGATTCCTGGTACCCTGCTTCCCAAAAAATCAAATGAAGGGTAATTCTCCTGCCTCAGCCTCCCAAGTGCTGGGATTACAGGCATGCACCACTATGCCTGGCCTTCAACTTTATTTATTATTTATTTTGGTTTTTTGAAACAGGATCTCTCTATGTAGCTAGCGAGACGGCCTGGAACTCCTGGTGATCCTTCTGCCTCAGCCTCCTGAGTGTTAGGATTATAGGTGTGTGCTACTACCCCCAGCTGCTTTTTTCCACTTTTAATCAAAGACATGGCTTTGAAATTACATTTCTACTCCATCAGACTATAACTTGACACAGGGAAGAGACCATGCATTCCTGTATTGCTCACCACTCTATCAACACGAATAATACACGGGGTGGAGGACTGACAGATTGAACCCAAGGACACTCCACCATTGTATATCCCCATCCCTTTTTATTTTATTTTGAGACAGGAATCTCACTAAGTTGCCTGGGCTGGCCTCAAACAAATCCCAGGGGCTGGGCTTATAGATATGGGCCCCCATGCTCAGCTACAACAGACAGTCACAGAACAGATGAGATGGTTGTGTGAAGGAAAGCATTCCTAGTGAACGGAATAGTTAATATTCTCCAACGCGTTCTGTAGATAAGGCCTAAAGCTAGGAGTTACTGAAATAATCTTACTTGAAATACATATGTATTTTTCTTTAAAGCACTCCTACCTTTTTCAAAACTGAAGAATCTGGAACTTCAACTGTTGTGATATAAAACCATGTTCTTCTGTACTGGCCAAAGACAAAGGGATGGAGAAGTTCACCTTCATCCGTGAGGCAGCATTTTCTGAGCAGCAGAGTCCTTAACGCAGCTGTCGTGGAAGGATAACACCACACCCACAGTACTTCTCCATTTGTGTCCTTTTCTACGGTGGAAAGATGGTCACTGTGAGAATGTCAAACAGCAGCAAGGAAGTGAATTGATTGGTTACTTAGAAGCACTTAGTGGCATCAGTTTAATACCTCATGTTACAAAGCAACCAAGAGAACCTGAGACCCCCAAATCCCAGCGAATTCATGATCTTCAGTATTAGAACATCTGAATGAAAAGCTTTTCATAACAAGCCATGAATGAAAATCTATGTTTAAAATTGTACTTATTAGCACGTTTGCAGTCCGTAATGACTACATTCATTGTGGGGAGTGGGTATGTGACTTAATTCTTCTTACTTCCCCTATTCTCCTCTATCTCTTGGTCCCCTTCCTATCTGCAAAAAATCTATCTCCTAAAAAAAAAAAATCTATCACCTATTTCCTATTATCTTTTATTTTATATTTATACCTTGGGTTTCTCATTTAAGAGAAACTATGCAACATTTAAGCTTCTCTGTCTTATTTCACTAAACATTAGGGTCTTACACTACACCCATTTTCGCTCAAATGACGCAAATTTATCCTTCTTTATGGCTTTCATGTGTTGACAGAAATACAGGTTGCTCCCAAGATTTAGCTATTATGAATTGTGCGGCTATAAACATACGTATGCATGTATCACTGTAATATGACATCTTTAAATCTTTTGGGAAGATTCTTAGAAGGGGAATAGCTGGGTCAAATAGAATTTATATTTTTAATTTTTTGAGGAATAGCCATGCAGATTTCCATAGTGGTCTTACTAGTTTACATTCCCACCAACAATGCAGGAGAAAGTTTCCTTTTTCCCTGCAGCTTCGCCAGCCATAAATGAAAATTTAGCTTCAGATATCTGTACAGTTCCTCCCTACCTCCTCCCACACACATGCTTATTAGTTTATAATTACATTAAGTTTTTATTTAGTTGGAAGAATCTAACAAGTATATAGAAAAGGTTTGTTTAAGAAAAAGAAAGCCGCGTGTGGTGGTGCACGCCTGTAATCCCAGCACTCAGGAGGCTGAGCAGGGAAGCTGAGGCAGGAGGATCCATGCAAGTTCAAGACCAACCTGGGCTACAAAGTGACCTCAAGGCCAGCAAAAACTGCATAGTGAGACCCTGTCTCCAAAAAAAAAAAAGAGAAAGAGAAAGCTGGGGATGTAGGTCAGTGGTAGAGCCCTTGCTAACAAGTACACGAGGCCCTGGGTTCTACTCTCAGTATCACATACAAAACCAAAGGAATTTTGTTAAACAAAAAATGAAGATGGTGCAATGTCTCTCAAATCATGTTATATATCAATTGTACAAATTTGATATTTAAAAATTTATTTTGTGCTGCTGGAGATGGACCCAGGGTTACAGATGGATTAGGTAAACTCTCTACCACTGAATTACATCCCCAGCTCCTAAAAAATTTTTAATAATAAAGATTATTCAGTCATATGCATACCTCAAATACAAAAAAGGAATTTTGCTAACAAAAACTTGAGGGACTGAGGGTAGAGCTCAGTAGCAGAGCACTTGACCCAGCATGCATAAAGCCCTGGGTTCAATTCCAGCATTACAAATCACTTTTCTTTCAATTTAGAAAAAAACAGCAGCAAAAACAACCAAAAAATTTTAGAGCAACATCTACTGAACATATAATAGTAAAAATACAATTTTTGATCTACAGATTTTTAAAAATTCTCTTTTTAAAGCAGGTGTGGTGGCTCATGCCTATAATCCCAGCACTTGGGAGTCTGAGGCAGGAGGACTGATTGCCAAAAGTTCACAAGTTCGAGACCAGCCTGGATTACACAGTGAGTTCAAGGCCAGCCTGAACTACATAGCCAGTCCCTGTCTCAAAACCCTCCTTCTCAAAAAAACAAAAAACAAAAAACAAAAAACAAAAAACAAAAACCTAAAATAAAAAATGCTTTTATGATGAAAACTATCAATTATATAAAGAAAATAATAAAGTGAATTCCCTGAGCTTCAGTAATTATCATCTGGTCCTCCTTGTTTTATATGAGGTATGGATCCACCCACTGCCTTTTTCTTTTGAGACAGGGTCTTGCTATGCAGTTCAGCCCACCCTTGAACTCACTCTGTAGCCCAGGCTGCCCTTGAATTTGAGGTGATTCTCCTGCCTCTGCCTCCTGAATGCTGGGATTACAGGTGTGTGTCACCACACTCAACTCTCCTCTCTTTTTAAATTTTTTTTGTTTTGTTTAGTTTTAAGAAAGAGATCTGGCTGTTGCGCAGGCTCTCTCCAAACTCCTGGGCCCAACTCTTAGGCTCAAGCAACTCTCCTGCCTCAGCGTTCAAAGTAGCTCAGCCTACAGATGTGTCACCCCCTCCTTATTTGAAACAAATCCCTTCTAAATGCACACCACTATGAAAAATAAGCCGGGCGTGGTAGCACACACCTGTAATCCCAGCACTCCTGGAGGCTGAGGCAGGAGGATCTTTTCGAGTATGAGCCCAGCCTGGGCTACAAAGTGAGTTCAAGGCCAGCCTGAACTGCATAGGGAGCCTCTGTCTCAAAAAGACAAAAAAAGAAAAAAAAGAAAAACCCACTGAATTAAAAATACAATCATAAGTCATCTTTTTCTTTGCTGTTACTGAGATCAGAGTTTAACTCAGTTTTAATTTAGAAGTACCTTCTGGTAGAACTAAGATGCCTGATGTATTCAGGTTTTGCTTTGATGCAGTTTTTTTTTAAATCGCTTTAGAAATGTATACAGGAAGCCTCTTCCATATAAATGCACTCTTTTGAGACACTGAAAAATGATTAGCATATTTCTCCAGTTTTACGAAGCCTGAGTAATGTTCCTGTTCATTTACGGGATAGAAAGACTGTTTAGGAGTGTGTTAAAATCTCAAGATAGTAAAAATGTTTCAAAGAGAACCAAGCAGACGTTCATTCATTCAAGCAACCTGGTGCTTCCTGTCACCTAGGAACAAACGGTTCTTCGAAATATCCACCCATCCCCGAAGCACTGCACTCGGCTCACGCACACGCTCTGCGCTGCCTGAAGCTCCCAACGAACTTCCCCACCCATGAATCTGTCCACACTAACCAGGTCCCAGGTGTTGATTATGCAGGAACTCCAGAGCTCAATCTTAGCCTGTTGGAGCACTGGTAGGGGTAGGGGTTAGAAGCTATACTGCCGAGGTTCCAATCCTGGCTCTGCCACTTGCTACCGTGTGTCCTGAGCAAATGACACCCGGAGCCTCCATCTGACTTTACCCACCCACCCACTCGGGGAGCGGCAGGAGGGAGACGATCGTGCACCACGCGCCGCAGCCCCGCCGGCCGGCCGGTCACGCGGGCTCCCCCGCTCCGAGGC